AATTAAGGGCAAAAGAAGTGTGGGAAGAAGAAAAATATCGTGGCTTCGTAATCTACGTGAATGGTTCGGGTGTAGTTCGATTGAACTTTTTAGGCGCGCTGCCAACAAAGTCGCAGTGGCCATGATGATTTCCAATCTCCGCTAGGAGTGGCACGAGAAGAAGAAGAAGATGTCACTGGTTTTAACGAACTAGTGCTCAGGAGACACTTCTATTACTTTTCTTACAATGGAAATTGATTAATATTACAACGATTTGCTCTGCTTTTCTTCCCTCAAATTTTACACATCGTATTTTTAAACAATCCCTGAAGCCATAAAACATTCCATCTAGTAAAAAATGTCCCTGGCAGACGAAAAAATGGTGGCAAACCCTCCAAGTTCTCAGTTTACAAGGTACTTATCAATGTCTGTGTCCAAAGCCACAACTTAGGTGTGTAATACTAAAAGGGCGGAAGATTGTGGGGGATTAGTTTATGATTAATAAGGACGGTTTCATGGATTCAGTCGCTGCGCAGGCAGGGCCGTACTGAGGACGATATTAACAAGACATTATTTTTTATGTGGTCTTAAGAACATAATCTTGCATGCAAATGAAAATGCACACGTTAGGAGACATTTACTATACACAAAACTATAACCGTGTAGGTTTTGAAATATTTACTCGAATCCAATTACTTAATTGCTTAAATTTGAAAAGTTTGAAGGAAGATAACAGTTTTAAGTAAGTTCAGCCAATCTTGCACTTGCAGCATAAGATTTAACTAAGATGAAACTTTTCTAGTGGCAAAGTTACCAGTTCGAAACCATGATTACTAAGATTTATGAAAGTCGTATGTCGAATCGGGTCTTTTTTAAGTTATCTTCCATGATATAGTGGATACAATATCTACTACAATTTCAATTTTTTAACTAGCATCGGAAATCATGTTGTGCTTTTAAAAGTCAGCAAAAATCAGTAAAAAAGATTTCAAAGTGACATAGAATACTTAGCAGAAGAACCCTTTTCTAGTTAAATAATATAAGAAGTGGTAGCAATGCAGTTCCGTGGAAATATTTATAACTGCAGAGTAAAATGCAGTTTCCTTAGAACCATTCAACTGATTTTAGTGAAAGTGGCCATGCAGATTACAAACATCTTTAAAGGATGCGATTACCGATAAGAAGAACAATTATCGGTAATCTTAAGACTAAACTTGGAGAAATTTTAGATGGGTGGAGAGGTGTTCTTCTGGAATTTTATATGTGTTATCCCCTCGGGTGTTTTCAACTCTTCATACAGCTATGCAGACGATATTTCCTCAGTTGTAGCTATAGCGTGCTTTGCTTTCCTCTTTGCTACCTTGTATATATCCCTTATCTTCATTTCTTATAGATCTGTCATACCTCTTTTTAGTCTCTTTCTTCTCTCTAGCCTTCTATTTCGCTTCACCATTCGACCAAGTTTCTTTGTCCCTAGGAGACCCTTTACCAGATGTTTTTCCTAGCACTTCCTCTCCCACTCGCACCACAACTTTACTGTTGGATTTTCACTAGTCATTCACCATATCTTTTTCCTTAAACTCCACACTTTCATAAAAATCTTAGATAACAAATTAACATAAAACTGCAGAAAATCTTTAAGAAACGCAGATACCAACGTAGTCAGCAGATACACCAAAAGATCACGTGTAATGACTTTTAACTGATTTTGTATAAAAATAACATAAAATTCCAGAAGATAAGAATGAGAGTGTTCTAAAAATATCCTACAAAAAAATATACGGGAATTGTATTGATTGGATCCCTTCCACAGAAACATCTCTCATAAAAAATGTTATCTCTCTCTCTCTTCAGCCTTAAGTAATCCAACTTTGGACATAGGCCTCCCCCAAATCAATCCAGTGTCTTTCTATTTTGCGCCACTTGCTTCCAGTTGTGTCCTCCGATCTTCTTAATGTCATCAGCCCATCTTATTTGTGGTCTTCCTCTGCTTCTCTTTCCTAACCATGGTCTCCATTGTTGTATTTCTGGTTCCATCTTTTATCCTTCAGTCGGACATTGTGTCCTGCGAAGCTCCATTTTAATTTGGCAGCATGTTCTCCTGCGTCTTTTACTTTGTTTTGCTTCTAATCCATTTGTTTGTTTTTTTTGTCTATAAGTCTCACCCCGAGCATTGATCTTTCCATCGCTCTTTGTGCTTTTACTATTTTATCCATATTAGACTTGGTGAGTGTCCACGTCTGTGAACCATACGTGAGTATAGGGAGGATACACTGATCGTAAATTCTGGTTTTCAAATATTGTCTACGTGCGTCATCATGGACTGTAGTTCTTCCAAGCTTGTAGTGTATATTACAATGCCATCAGCGTATCTCAAATGACTCAGTTTTCTTCCATGTAACATTTATTTCTTATCTGCCCAGTTAATGTCTTTGAACCGTCTTCCAGTCCAAGTGTGAATAGCTTTGGTCAGATAACAACTCCTCTGTTGATTGGTTGCAGCTTTGGTTTTCGCATCTATTTGTATTTTCATTGTAGCTTTCTTGTAAATATTATGTATGAGCATTCTGTATCGGGAGTCTATCCTGCAGTTGTTCATAGCTCTCTCTATTGCCCAAAGTTCTATGGAGTCGAATGCCTTTTCATAATCAACGAAGCCAATGTATAAGTTCAAGTGATATTCATTGGCTTTCTCTATTAGCGTTCTGACTGTAAGAAGATGATCCGCTGTACTGTAACCCTTTCGGAATCCTGCCAGCTCTACCGGTTGATAGCTATCGAGCTTCGACGTTAACCTGTTAGTTATTACTCTCATAACTGTTATACATGCTACAAAATAATCAGAGATGAAATAAGAATATAATTATACTGGACACCATGCGAATACAAGAAGACCTACATAAAATGAAGTGGCAAGGGTAAGAAGTAAATTGAAGACAGCCGTATTGATTAAAGGCCAGTATAAGAGCCTAAGGGAGATATATGTACATATATCCAAAAATGAATATAAGAAGTCAGAGGAGACTTTCCATAAATTAAATTTAGTACAATTAACTCAATATCTAAGAGTATATAGAGATTTCCAAAAAAAAACACAAAACATTTTGCTAAATATAAAATTATTCTAATCCTACTATACTTAGACCCGTCCCTGGAGTTGTGGGTTGAAAGCAAGAGGGAATTGTAAATTCCGCGTTATAAATTTCAGCATCAAGTCGAAGTTTTGTTTGTTTATTACAGTGTCATCTGGCCAGGATAAATTGCAGTTCTGAGAACTAGTAATTCTAAATATTTGTCGTGTTTTCACCTGTGGCTGGAAGTCCCTCAGAGAGAGTGTTATCCCAAATTACTTTTACTACAACTTAGATATTTCAAAACAATTCGGGTTTGTTAGTTTCAGAACAAATCCTGGAGTGTATTATACGACTAATGCTATATTTAGTTATTTAGGTTTTGAAAGTAATCCAAAGGGGGAATTGTATCAGTCGGTAAACGACTTTTTTAGTTTTTTGACAAGAAAATATTTCTGACACCTCAAAAGCTCTAAAAATGCAGTTAAAATATATACAAAAAATAAAAAATATAAATAAATATTTTTCGATGTGATATACAGGGTTACGCAATTGAACTGTTACCAACTTCACATCGATATATCTGGCAAATAGATAATGACAGCTACGTCAAAGTTGGCCTGATAACACTTCAGTATGTTTATAAGTCGTCAAAAGCATTTGCATTTAAGTTTTATACATACAACAAAAGTTATTCGCAATGGAATTTAAACGTAATAGTGTGATTGCCTTATATTTGGCTGGAAAATCACAACCAGCTATTGTTCGTCAGCTCAAACACCTCAAAGTGAATAAAATGTTTGTGTATCGCACCATAACTTGTTAATGATACTGTAGATTGCTAACGCTATGGTGGTGGACGAAAAAAAAAACAGCAACATCACCTAAAATGGTTCGGAAAGTGAAGGCTCGACTTGAGCGAAATCCACGTCGTAGTGATAATCAAATGGCCAAAGAACTGAAAATATCCTAGCGAAGCATGCAACGAATATTGAAAAAGGAGCTCAAGGTCAAGTCTTACAAGTTCCAAAAAGCACACAATCTTACACCAAAGCAAAAAAAGTTCGGCTTGAAAGAGCAAAGGAGTTGTTACGCCTGCGCGAACGTGGCGAATTTCCGAACATAGTGTTCTCTGATGAGAAAAATTTCCCTATTGAGCAGTTCATAAACTCTTAAAATGATCGTGTTTACTTGACCGAACGCACCTACGAAAGTTTGGGCTTACGAACGGCCACCCGAAGTAATTTCCCATCTCAAGTAATGGTATGGGCAGCTGTAACCGCCGATGGACGCTCTCAAATCGTTTTTATTGAATCTGGTGTCAAAGTCAATGCAACTTATTATCGGGAAAATGTTTTAGAAGCTGCTTTAGAGCCGTTTGCACCCAAACATTTCAGTTGTAGACCATGGACGTTCCAACAAGACTCGGCACCGTCTCATAAAGCTAGTGTGAACCAAGAATGGTTAAAAAACCATGTTTCACACTTCATTTCATCCACACAATGGCTTTCGAATTCGCCAGACGCAAATCCGATGGACTATTCCATCTGGTCCATTTTGGAAAGCAAGGTGAGGACTAAAAAATATGCCAGTATGGATGCGCTGAAGAAAGCGATTATACGTGAATGTGCCAAAATACCGGAAGATCACATTCGTGCAGCATGCAACTCGTTTTTTAATCGTTTGAAGGTCATAGTCAAGGCAAAAGGTGTCCACATCGAACTAAAGTGAGTGGATTCTGAATTTTGATTGTTTTCACACATTTTTGTCATTTGAATCACATAAATAAATCAATAAAAATAATTTCACACAAAAAAAATAGTCGTTCAAATAGGTAACAGTTCAATTGCGTAACTCTGTAGATTCCTGTAAGTATAAATATTTGAATCTCGTTAACACGCACATAGCTCAAAATTACTATAGATGTTAAATTAACTATTATACATGTAGAAATAAAAGATACAAACCCGAAATGCAAAACGACTTCTGGAAAAAGTTCTGGAAAAAACAGAAGAAAAAATGGACTGAAAACTGCAGCTTGAAGTATTTTACCAATAATAAAAAATATCGTCAAACACTACAATGAAGAAGCATAAGCTAAAATATTACAAGATTGACCTACAATAGCGAAAAACCAAAAAAATGCCGAAAATTTAAACACAAAAATGGAAAATTATATTTAACATTGTAGTTACAAAGTATTATGGCTAATAATTTTAGCGACTGGACATAAAAAATAAACAATCAACTGTGTTTAAACAGACGTTTCTTAGAAATGTTTTTTGTAATTCTGTTTCTGTAAAATCACTGTTTAAGATTTGCATCAGATTTAACGTCAGTTAATTATTAACGCGTTGTATACCTCACGAAAGATCTATGGTCCCCGTAATTCCTTCCAGATTTTCTCGAAAAAAGCCAAAAACCTCATCTTCCGAACCATTTATCTTGTAAGATCACAAAAAACGTCTAATTAAGCCTCTCCACTTTATTTATCCTTTTATTTTTTTTTGGGGTTCAAAAAGTACAGAAGTAGCAGAAAGCGCTCCACCAGAAAATCATTAACAACTGTCGGTTCTCGGAGACCTACCGACACGGTAAAATATCTTTAATTGCAAGCACCTTCGCATATACAGGAACGGTTTAAGCGTTCAAAGAAACATCATAAGTCCTTCCAGACGAGACGTTTAAAGAAATATTAGCGTTAATTGAATTTATACAGGGACTGTTAAAAAATCGATAAATGTTCTATAGGGTCAAAAATAATACAAAAGCAATAATAATGAGAGAATTAAGATCACATCGTCAACCAAAATCACACTGACTGGAGACACAAGCGTAATATGAACACTGAGTTAAGAAAAACGTTTCAGCTGAATTACACTTTCACAACGGACTCACCGAAGCTTTTTCTAATTGTGCTAAAAACATGTGAAAAAAATTGAATGGATCCCATATTAACGAGTTTTAACGTTTTCTGATAAAATCAATTTAATTTTCACAACTTTTCTCTGAGCGACAAACAAATTCTTGGTCCTCAAAATAACATTTAGAAAACCAAAAAATCTTCTAAGGCACTAGTAACTCTAAAGTAAATGGCTAAAGGCGGCTGTAAAGAAAACTAAAAAGTACTACCATACAAAAAACTGGTCTCCAGGTACATCTTTAGAAGAACTAACACATCATCTGAAGACTATTGATGAAAATATTGAAGTTAACCAATTAAACTCGAGATGTCCAAGATGTTGTGATTTATTTAAAATTGCAGATCCTGAGGCATCATCCCAAAGATTTTTAAATTGTGAACTATGGCCTGAGGGTATATACATTAATGAATTTTTTCGTTCCTTCATGCATAAACAATAACTATAATAACTATAGTAATACTACAGAAACGTGCTCTGTGTTTCACTTAAATGTACAAAGTATCACTAATAAGGTAGATGAAGTTAAATGCATTTTTTAAAGATAATAAAGTATGACATTTTTTGTGTTTCGGAACACTGGTTATATTATGATAGTTTACAAAGAATAAACTTGGACAGTTTTCAACTTTGTATTGTAGAGAAAGCAGACTACATGGAGGTGTAGCTATTATGGTTCTAAACGTATATTGAACTTGAGCCGTTGATTAAACAATTTTGTGATCCATTGAACGCTGAATTATGTGGTGTTGAAATTAAAAATAATCGTTTTCTGAAAATTGCACTTTATCGATCTTGTAATGGGAATATTACTGTGTTTAAATCTAAATTTTATGCTTTAATTGATTTCACCTACATAAAATATAAAAATATAATGATACTTGGGGAGAATAACATAAATATGAAAGTAAACACAGGGTAAATTTGTGAAATACGAAATTTCTTAACCATGTACGGATTAAAACATTTTATAAAAGCGTCCACAAGAGTTTTACTTACTTCAAGCTCTTGCCTTGATAATACATTTACTAATATTAATGAACAAAATTTAAATAGGTACAGGTGTCTACGATTCTGTAATATCTGATCATTTGGCTATATTTACTATTATAAGTGGTTTAAAAAATGTGTCTACAATTATAGATTGACTAAAGAAAGAAAATATTAAAAAAGAATAATTCAACCAACATGACAGACTTGTTTATGAGATATATGTGTGAAGAATACAACATTTGTTTTTCTTTAAAGAACGTGAATAGCAGAAAACGTGCTATTCATTGGTTGGAAAACAACTCTACGATTGTAAAGCAACTTAGAAAACTTAGAAATAAAATCACTATATGACAATTGGATTAAATATTGTCAAATGCGAAAGAAATACAAGCAAGCAATAAAAGCTGAAAAACGTACTGCTTATGCTAACATAATTAACAAATCCACTAACAAAAGTAAGACAATATGGAGTATTGTTAAAAAAGAAACCTATAAGGAAAATACTACGTCTAATCTGAACTTAACACCAGAAGAGATTAACCAATACTTTACGAATATAGACGTGAAAAGAATGCTAACACCAATTAAAAAATTCCTCATGTGTTGACTAGTATGGTTTTAACAGTAAAATTATTAAGGAATCGCTAGATATAATTATTGAGCCTCTCACAATGCTATTTAACAAATGTATTAACGAGGGTTGCTGGACTGATGTATTCAAAATATCAAAAGTTATACCACTTCATAAAAAGAAAATAAAAATGCTCCAGACAATTACATACCTATTACCATAGTACCAATAATAAGTAAAATTTATGAAATTTTAAGCTCTCAATTTGGTTTTAGGAAAAAAATACTCAACAACAAAAGCTTTATATTGGAAGTAATAGAACATATTGTTCACGGTCTTGATGCAGGTGAACCTACTAATGGTTTATTGTGTGACCTTACAAAAGCTTTTGATCGTGAGGATATTCAAACACTATTGCTAATTGGAGTACTATGGAATAAGGGGTACCATACACGACCTTTTAAAATCATGTCTTACAGGAAGAACATAGATCATTGCATTTAATAATCAAGAATCTAATCCGTTACCAGTTTCAACCGAGAGTACCACAAGAATCAGTTTTGAGTCCTCTGCTAATAAATAGGTTTCAGGTTTTAAAAAGATTTGAAGAAGCAGAGAAATCTATCTAAAAAAGAACACAAGAAAAAAAATGGTTCGACGAAGAATGCGAAATAATCTTAGACGAAACAAACTAAAGGCAAAAAAGAGACAATATCTACCAGAAATTGAAAAGATAGAAGAACATATACACAAAGTAAAACATTCTACAGTGAAGTCAGACAACATAAAAAAGGCGCTTATACAAAGGGTAGTAGAGGTTGGGACGCTTGGGAGACCCCCTCCACTCCCACTCTGACGTCACAAGATATCGACGCTGACATGACGCTGACTCAACGCTGACATAATGCCGACTCAACGCTGACATGACGATGACATAGTCAGCGTCGATATCTTGTGACGTCAGAGTGGGAGTGGAGGGGGGTCTCCCAAGCGTCCCAACTTCTACTACAAAGACATCCAATTTCGTGAGAAACTAGATATCCATATTCAAAGGAAATGGACAAACGCTCACCAAAAAAAAATAATCGAAAGATGGGCTGAATATTTTGAAAAACTCCTGAACGTACAGAATGTCACTGATAAAAACCATGGAAACACCGGAAAAAGTAATTAGAAAAAGAAAGACAATTAGAAATTCTATAAAAACTCTAAAAAAAATAAATCCGGGTATGTACAATATTGATGACGAGTTAATTAAAAACTGTACGAACTTTGAAAACGTTCTGATGAAAATTGTAATCCTTTTGATACCTTTATTATTCTAGTAAATTTGTAAATATATCAATTACACATTAATTGGTTTGATTTTAATATACTGAAGGTTCTGATCTTCTCTTAAATTTGGAGACCAATGAATGCGAATCCCAAAGCGGCAATATAGTAAAATGCACCGGCTCTGCATCGGAAAAAGAAATATAGACGATTGTGGAAAAAAGAAGAGGACTTGCGAACACCGTCACTTGTTTAGGGTTATTTTTAAAAATAATTAGTTTCGGAAGCTCAAGCGGATTCGGTTACGGATCCTGCGATGCTCGCGAGAGTTCAAGAGTCACTAGAGACGTCGGAAGTGACTACGAGTCCCACTATTAAATAGACACTTTCATAAAAATTTTCAAAAACAAATCTTAAAATTTCTGGTGTAATTTTTTGAACAATTTCGAATTTTTAAAAACTACTGTGAATTTTACTAATCCATTATTTTTTAAAATTTATATATTATGATGCATACACTTTCACTTTTGTGAAGCGTCAAGTCGCTTCATTAGCGTTATACAAAGCAAGATATCCACTGTTAATTTTATATCTTTTATAACTCCATTCATTCATATAATTCTTCTTACTTTCGCCATATGCATTAGTAGTTCATCTTTTCGTTTAATTGCACAACGTTAAGTTCAGTACATCATAGCTAGTCTTATAACAGTTCGATAGAATTTTCCGTTTAGTTATATTGGAATCTTTTTATCATATAACACACCATTCACCTCCTTCCAATTCATACATTATTCCAGAAAACGTTGTTTCTGTTCTACAGTTTTTACCTCTTTTTAATCTCTTTCTTCATGATTGTATCTCTATTCTACCAGTCTTTGCTCTAAATCGCCTTAGTCATTCCTACTACCACTACATTATCAGCGCAAATAGTTAAAAAGATTGAAGCCTTTGAACTTTGGATATACCGGAGAATGTTGAGAATCCCATGGACTGCCAGGGTCACCAATGAGGAAGTGCTGAGAAGAATGGCTTCGAGTCAAAAAATTGTTGAGAACGATAAAAGTACGCAAGACTGCATACCTTGGACACATACTAAGAAATAATAAATATAGTCTTCTGCAGGTCATCATGCAGGGTAGAGTCGATGGCAAAAAGGGAATAGGTAGAAAGAGGAAAGAGAAGCTTTTAAAAATGTGGTCGCCAACCTCCGTTAATGGGGACGGCATAGGAAGAAGAAGACTACATTATCAGCACCAACTGCATTAACCACCAGAAAATGTTA